TGCTACTGCTACTGCTACTGCTACTGCTACTGCTACTGCTACTGCTGCTGCTATCGCTGCTGCTAGTATGCTGCTGCTGCTGCTGCGGCTGCTGCTGCTGCTGCGGCTGCGGCTGCGGCTGCTGCTGCGGCTGCTGCTGCTGCTATTGCTGCTATTATTTTTTGTCGTAGTAGTAGTAGTAGTAGTAGTAGTAGTAAGCGTCTCGGCCCGAGTCGTTTATCCAAGTTAGCGGGGGTACTTCACGCTGCATGTGGTTCTTCTGCTGACTGCTGTGCACCGTACGGGTGCTTAGACTTCTCTTTCTGCAGCAAGTACTTTGGATCTTGGTTGCCTTTTACGGGTGCCAAGATCCTTGGCGGCTTCTTCGTCATCTCCTGGGATTTCCAGCAATAGCAGTTCTCCAACTCTCAATGCTGAAAGCCCTGTTTTTCGGGACTCTCCCATTACTCTGGTTGCTGTTGAGGCAAGGGTTCGCGCTGAAGCCGAAAGACGACACGCTGCTGAGGCTGAAGCTGCAGAGGCCAGACGGCTGCTGCTGGAAAGCTTTGTGCGAGCCGCCCTCTTCGAGCTCTGCATGGTATACTGGGAGCGCCAGATGCACTTCAAGTTTTCGGATAGGCGCTCAATCAATGCCCGTGTCGCCGCGCAACGTAGGAACCTGCAGAATGAGGAGCCTGGGTGTGCTTATGCAATTTTGGCGCCCCAGATGGAGCAGGGCTTGTTTCAGCAGCTGCATGAGGATTATGGAGTCCTTGGCGGACTCTATGATCAAGGAGTCCAGGAAAACGACGTCGCCTGGATTAATGGGATTGGTGGATCCACCGACCCGCCCAGACATGTGGCCCTGCAGCATTTGGAAAGGCTGGCGACAAAGCACCTGCGCGGCCGATTTCATGATGACACGCTGCGCATTCTGCTGCCACGCCTCCTTGACTTGTGCTGCAAAACAAGCTCATGCGCGCCACGCTGCACCTGCTTTTTCCCGTTCTGGATGACTCTGGAAGGCAGGAGTTTCAACAGTGGTACGCGGGATATGCCTTGGGCATCCAGATCCCGATGGATGAGGAAGCGGATGAACCCGCAACAGCAGCAGCAGAAGTCGGAACCGGAGCTTCGAGCTCCTCCGGCAGAACGTGATCTTGGTAAGCAACTGCGGCCAGGGAGATTCCAGACGGTTCGAGCGAGGGCCAAGCGCGGCCGGCGGTTCGCCACCAGGAGGCAAACTGGTCGTCTTCGACGTTCCCTGAGCGTGTGGTTTCGCAGCTTGAGTGCGATGTTTTGTACAGTTGCGTTAGTGGGCAGTGCGGTAGGCTGGTGGATTGCCTTCCTCGCCCTCCCTTGCACTACCCCAAAGCCTAGTTGCTTACCTCAAACCCCCCCCATCCCAAAATAGGCCGCCTTGGTCCCAAGTCCAAGGGTGGCTCTGCGCTCAGGCCTACCATCGTGATGTTAATCACCTGTCTTTGCCATCTAATGCAGGTAGGAAGGGCAGTCAGAGTCACAGACGCGAGGGTAGGAGGCTCTCCCCACCTGGAACCTCCTGAAGTCAACGTTCCCAGACATAACAGACTTCCGGGTTGGACAAACCCCGACGGTGCTCCTAATACTGTTCCAATAAGAACGGCTCGTAAACGTGCTTTTCAAAGAGCCCAACGCCGCGCTGCCAGGCATGGTAGTACAAAGTACAGAGGCCAATGGCTTAGTGCACAGCAACTAGGAGTTACTACTGACTCCGGGCAACCGCGAAGACAACAGCAACCCAACCAGCCCGAACGACAGCAAAAACGTTTTCACTTTCTATCTTGGAATGCCTCAGGACTCACTATTGACAGACATGCAGAGGTACAGCATTGGCTAGCGTCTCCGGAGGCACAACACATAGGACTTGTTGCCATTCAGGAAACCCATTGGAGGCATGCCATGGAGTACACCTCAGGGCGGTTCTCGGCCATCCACAGCGGAGGCAATAAATCTGAAGCGGGCTTGTTAGCTCTGATAGATAACAGGATCCATCCGCCCCACAGTGTATTCCACCAGGATATCATCCCCGGCCGCCTGCTGCACATCAGATTAACAGCCACTGAACCTTGCATAGATGTTATCTTGATATATCAACATGCATGGTCGGTGGCCAAGAACCGATCCGCTCAGGAGCACAGCAAAGAGGCCTTGTTGTCGAAGCGTGCTGAGGTGTGGGCTAGGCTGCATACGTTGCTCAATGGTCTACCTAAGCGTAATTAAACTTTAATTCTGGGAGATTTTAATTGCAGTTTGAAGTCGCATAGCAACCTTGTAGGCCGGGGCCTTCTGCATCACACCTCTGCTCATGCCAGCGACGCGGACATGCTGCAGTCAGCTGTCGAGCAGTTTGAACTGGTCGCGTTGAACACGTGGTCTAGGAAGGGCCGACCCGCCTGTACCTGTGTACCAGCAGCCACCAGGGGACATAGTCAGATTGACTTTGTTATGGTTGATAAAGCACAATGCGATCAGGTAGCTCGTCAGACTAGGGCGGTACAGCTTCCTTTTGTGCCGATTTCCGGGATGCGCCATCTTCCACTCATCGGTAGTGTTAAGCAGCCCAAAAGGCCCTCCTGCCCGACTAAACGACATGTAGGCATCTCCAGGCGTACCGTAGAAGACCTTCAAAAGAAAGATCCCTACATCATCGAGCGCTTCCGGCTAGCTGCAGAGGCCCTTTGTCAACAGCAATCGTCTCAACCCACGGTCCGGTTGTTGGAGCTCGCCTGGAAACAAGCCCGGGAAGCTAGTCAAGGATCACCCCCTACAACTAGCGTTGCCATCCCGACACACGGAGGTTGTAGAAAGGCCGCCACGGTTACTCAGCTCTGGCAGCTTCGTGCACGTGTTCTCCGCTTGCCTCAGAGAGGCGGCCTGCGCTGCTATATACGTCTTTGGCTTGCGCGTGCCCAGCTGCAGCGGCACCAGCGCCAGCTCAGAACAATCTGCAGGCAACATAAAAAGGATAAGGTCAAGAATATCCTGTCCGATGCTGCAGCGCAGCCGCAGAGCCTGGTGACAGTCTTCCGGGTGCTCAAAGTGCTTGCGCCGCCAACTCCCAAGCGTCGACTACAAATACGCACTGAACAAGGCCTTCCCTGCAGTCCTCTAGAGAGCCTCAAGCACATCACGAAATGTTTCCATGACTTTTATCACACAGACACCACGCCGTTGACAGTCAAGTGGGAGGAGCCGGCTGCGCCACTAAGTTTCACGCTCGATGAGGTGGCAACAGCAGTTAAGGGCTTGCCTGCGCGAAAGGCGCTTCCGACGGCAGTACCGCCTGCT